TCAGCATTTCTACTACTCAGAAATGCTACCTCAAAAACTCCCAAACATGAGCCAAGGAGACAAATGACAATCAGGACATTTATTACCATCCTCATCTCCTACGTGGTAAAGGCTTGTTTCGTTGGAACAGAAATCTGTCCCACTAGAATATTCTGAGAGTTTGCACATAGAGGATCCAACATACCTCCCTAAGTCTTTCTTCTACTAGCAAGTCCTTGCGCGAACCCGATTTCGGAAAATCACACAGCTTTCGGGTGAATCCGTGCAGATGGAGTTCATGAGCGAAGCTTCTCATGCTCTCACTTTCAAAAATTTTCAGACGTCCTTTCCTTGCCAGTACTTCCTCTTCAAACAATTCTTCATGAATCACTATAGACTTTCCGTTGTCACCCCACCAAATGGACTCAAACAGGTCGTTGTCAACAACGTCCCAGAGCTTCTTCAGAAAACTAAGGCATATAGAGGCATGGCCTTTGCAAGAGCCCTCCTCAGATGAATTCAGATGCTCTCTTTTTGACGAGGGTTGCTTAGTTGAAGACTGTGAAGACCCTTCTTCTATTGGAGGTCCAAAGGCAGCATCACTAGCTGCCATTTTGTCACATGGCGGACAGAGAGAAGTCAAGCCTGATGGCTCAACTCCATTGGCCAGAACAGAATCACATGAAGTTTCCGATGAGGAAAGCTCCATTTTAAATTCTTTTTTCTCAGTTTGAGTAATTTTTTCAGTTGAATCCATCTACCTTAGCAGCCAGGCTGTCCTGACAGCCAGCCAGCTGAAAGGAAGTGACTGAGTGACTGAGAATCCCAAGGGAAGATTCTCAAGCATCACTATGACACTCATGCTGCGCTTCCATGACATCACAGAGCAGTGTCTGTTTCCTAGCAACATGAAGCAGCAGCAGCAAGCCATTTCTTTTCATTTACGTATTTTATGTCTCAAGAGCCTAAAAGTAAATAAAACCGCAATGAAATTTTAAGTGTAGTGGTAGGACAGTGCTGTGTTGGGTTTCAGCCAGTACC